GACGGAGGCGCCCGGCTCCGGCTCGCGGGCCCCGGGAGGCGGCCGCGCAGCGGGGCGGCCCCTCGCGGCCGAGCCGAACCGGGCCGGCAACTTCTCCCGCACAGGAGGGGGAGCTGATGCACACAACCGAAGGGATCTAACTAATTAAAYAGTAAGCGAGGCGGCGGCTGAGAGCAGCGGGACCGGCCGGCGGCGCCTCCCGGCCCCGCGCTGCCCCCTCGGGCTCGCCGGGCAGCGGCCCGAAAGGCGGCGGAGAGCGACGGGACGGGACGGAGCCCACCTGAAACCGAGCGGCGCCGCCAGCCGCTCCCGGGGGACACCGACCCCCCGCTCCCCGCACCTGGAGGGAAGGGAGGCGCCCCCTCCCCCGGCCCACGCGTGTCCCTCGTCCCGCGTGGGGGGGGTCCCCTGCGGCCGCCGCCGGTGCTGCCCCGGCCTCCAGCAGGGAGGGAGTGAATCATCAAAGAAAAGGGAGAGAAGAGGAAGGAAAAATAGAAAATAAAAAAAATAAAAAATAAAGTGGGAGGGGGGGATGAAAGAAAAGACTGAGACGGAAAGGGGAAGAATAGGGGCGGAGGAGAAGAAAAAACACGAAGAAAAAAAAAAAGCGGCAGTAATAATAAAAAATAATTCCAAGTGGGGGGAGGAAAAAAAATGGCGGATTAAAATCCAAGATGGCGGCGCCGAGGGGCGAGCGGCGCCGGGGGGAGGCGGAGGGGGCGCCGCCTCGAGATCCCTCCGCCGCGGCCCGCGAGAAAAAGTCCGCCGGGCGCCCCGGGGGGGCCCCTGGGGGCGACGGCGAGCGGCGACCTCCGCGCCCTCCTCTTCCTCCCGGTGCTGCCCGGCTGGGAGCCCCCTCCGGCGGGCAGGTGGCGGGCGAGGGGCCGCTACCGCCGCGGCGCTGCCGAGTTTCTTCTCCCGGCTCCGGCGGGTCGTGCGGGCGGCGAGCGGCGCCTTCTGCCTGCGCGCTCCGCCGCGCGGAGGGACACGCCGGGCCGTCACCGGCCTTGTACGCCCGCCGCCGCGGAAGGAGACGCCGCGCCGTGGGAAACGCAGCTCCCCCTTCCTCCCCGCTACAGCCGCCGTCGCCTCGCGGGAGGCCGCGGCTCAACGAGGCTCCACAGCAGGGGGGAGGGGGAGCAAAGAGAGGGGAGCGGCCACCTCATGACCCCCACGGCGGCGCCGCGGCCGGATTCCTCCGCCAGCRAATGAGTCCCGGGCCGCCCCACGGCGCACGCGGAAGAAGTGCCGGCCGCCTCGCGCGGGGCGGAGGGATCCCTCCGCCGCGGGCTGCCCTTTAAACGCGAGGGGCGGCGCGGGTGCCCGGGCGCGTGTCCCGTGGGGCGGGCGGCGCGCGGGGCTGCCCCGGCGCGGGGGGACGCGGCGCCCTGGTSCCCTGCCCATGGCGGAAGGAGGGGGCTCTGTCCGCCGGGCGCCGGCACCTGCTTCCTGCCAGAGCTATTTAAAAATGGCCCCCGCTGCGGGGCGGCGCCGCCTTCCCTCAGGGAGCGGCGCGGGGCGGCC